ACCATGACCTTGTCAGTCAAAAAGACTGCATGCGAGTGAGCACACTGACCAAATTCATTGACAATAATCTGAGGCTTGCTAGAAATCGGCCGCAGTGCACTCTCCTCCTTAGCTCTGACAGAAATTCACTTTTGGCATAGCAACTCCATGCAGCATGTGCTGTAGGTGAGGGGATCGAACCCCCCCAAAATCTCATAAACCACAATCACTTCGGCATGTCCTCCAAGCATGGGCAATGACCCAAAGGTGAGTAGAAGGTGTGTGAAAATCATCACCAAAAAAATCGTTATGATTTTCACTCACATTCGGGACCCCAAGAGGAACACCTATTCAAAAAGAAAAGAAATACCACCCAATGGGAGGTCCCAAAAACACACATATGTCCCCGCCGTGAATACGAATAAAAACACACCGCCGATATCCGGTCCGATCCACGGTGCTTCTAAGTCACACAACCTCTCCATTACTCCACATACATCGGTAGTGGGATCTCCCTCCTGGAGTCGTTCCCGGATTCCCAACCAAACTCTGAGTAAAACATCAAAAACTTAAAAAAAAGGTAATATTATCATAATATTTGAAAAACTACTTAAAAGTACCTTTCAAAATTTTTATTCTTTTAAGGTTTTCTTTTAAGGTTTTTGACTTTTAAATAGAGTTCGGTTGGGAATTCGGGTATAACTCCCGAGCAAGAGTTTTATGGCCCGGGTCCACTTGGCCGGCCAGGCCAAAAAGAAATAAAAATAAATAAAAATAAAAATTGTTTTCAACTTAATTTTAATTTTAAATTTGGTGAAGAATTTCGATGTGACCCTGAGGCAAAAGTTGTTCTCTTTATTTTTCTGCATCAACTTAATTTTAATTTTCAATTTGGTAAAGAATTTCGATGTGACCCTGAGGCAAAAGTTGTTCTCTTTATTTTTCTGCATAACATAGTTTTTTGGGGGATTCTTTTTTTTTTTTTTTTTTTTTTGGCTGCGACCTTCCCTAGTCCTTGCACGGCCGGGCCGCCCGGGAAAATAGGGTGACCCGGGCGCCCTGGCTAGTAGCCTAGTCCATAAGTGAAATGATTGAGCCATTCATAACATCATTGCCTGGTCTATGTCCATTCGATTGATTGCCTGCTTGATTAATTGATTGATTGACGAAAGAATTCCCTACACGCTCCTTCTTCAGCTAGCAATGAGCAGACGGCCGCTTGTTAGAATGCAGCTTCACAAACTGATTGACTGATTGATTGATTGATCGATTGATTGGTTCCATTGATTGATTGATCGATTGATTGGTTCCATTGATTGATTGATTGATTGATTGATTGATTGATTTGATTGGTTCGATAGATTGTTTGAGTGATCGAGTGATTGAGTGATTGACAGATTTGTTGATTGATTGATTGATTGATAGTTAACTGATTAGTTGATTGATTGATTGATTGATTAGTTAGTTGGTTGGTTGGTCGGTCGGTTGGTTGGTTGATTGATTGATTAGTTGGTTGGTTGGTTGGTTGAATGATTGATTGATTGGTTGATTGACTGATCGATTGATTTGGAACGATTCATTGACTGCTGGGATAATTCCCTACCAAGGTCATGTTGAGCTTGAAATGGGTTGAGCGGCTTGAGCCTCTGTCAGAGTGCATTTAAACATCCGCACGTCCAAATACAGCTCACACACCAATAGCCGGTGTATTCTGGCAGCTATGTTGTCGACATTGCAAAGCACAACGTTGCTCACATCCGTAAATTGCCACTAATTGATCGACTGATTGACTTTATTGACGACTTTGATACTATTGGACTTCATATAATCGATCCGCGCCAGGGATGACTTGAATTTTTCCAGTCATCCAGATACGCCTAGAGGTTCGACAAAAGCAACAAACAACGTAGCGACGTAAGCTCTCTGTTTGCTGTTCGGGGAGGGGGGAGGGGGGAGGGGGTAAGACAGCAGTCTCGAGAAGTAGAATGACATAACGGAAGAAGCACAAGATAATAACAAACGCAAAAATACTGATGGCGCCTCACGCACGCGCACACACACACACAACCCTCATATC